ATAAGGACTCACCATTAGTGTTAATCAGCACACAAACTACCCTCAACCATAGATTAATTTGGATACCATGAATTAATTTGAACATGGTTCGTGAAATGGCCATCTACGTTTTGGAAAAAATGTATTGCCATTTTCATTTTCAGCCAAACATGCACTTACATGTCTACAAATATTGTAAAACCTGAAGCCTTTCTCCACCCAAAAACTGGTCTTGTAAGGTCTCAAGCTCTTCTTTATCATAAGAAAATTAACCAACGGAAGTTTCTGAGGACCTTCGAGTGCTTGTCATGAAGTCCCAATGAATGTGATCTTAAAGAATGGGGATTTTATTTGGGTAAAAGATCTCAAAGATTTTTATCTCAAATCCAGTATGGAACTTCAACATGCTAATGGCCTAGCCTCCACTCTAATCCTACTGATTGTGCTTGACATTAAAGGTCAGAGTGTGAGCCAACTGCCAACAGAGTTTTTTTTTTCTTTTCTCTTCTTCTTTTTTGAAGGTTATCAGTATTGGAATTCAGACAACTAATATTCCAGTTTCTTGCAATCTTTCTGTATGGTCTGCAGTAACTATAAATTTTTGTCTTCTTTAGATTGGCTACCATGGCAATCTGTTTTTGAGAAAGTTCTTACTGTAAACCCTAGGCTTGCTTCTTACTGTAAACCCTAGGCTTGCTTTCATCTCCGATTGGATGCTCTTATCACTCACCTCTTTCTTTCACTCATTCCGATTGATATCTGTCTTTACCTATTCAGAAAGGAACATTTTAAGTGAGCCATGAAGGATTGGTGTCTTGATTAACCTACATGACTTTCTATCACAGACACCTCATTCTGCTGATTCTTGTGAAATCCTTTATGCTTTTTTTTTTTTGTTGAAACATGTGAAAATGCTTCATGCTGATGGGTACTTTTCAATCTCTTGTACCCATAGGTAAATTTCCTCTACTTCTGCAAAGAAGTAAAATAAATAATCAAAGCGTGTAAGTGGTTGTAGCTTCATGAGCTTACCAGATCCATGGTTGATGATAGATTTCGACATTACATATGCTAGCCCTGCTGTTGTCTCGAATTGTTACATCAGAAGTTTTGTTCTTGGTTGAAGTTGTATAAAAATGGAAGTGGATGGTACAGGTCTTGTGCACTTCTTTTTTTGGTTTAAGTTCCACTGAAATCAAAGTGGACTTGTGTAGGTTTCGTCCAGCACAAAATTAGCTGTGGTTGAGTGAAATAGATTTGTTGGTTTGAGATCTTTCCTTTAAAAGTTTTTCTTTCTTCTGGGGATTATTTTCATACTGTATGAAGAATGCTTCTTGGACTTAAAGTGGAGAACGAGTACAAAGAATTCTTCTAGGTAATCTGGATAACCATTCAACTTAAACTGTAAATTCAAAAAAATACAGGCATTCACCTTTTTATTTTTGGCATATATTTTTGTTGCTCAAGGGCCTGTTTGGATGAGCTTGTCACTGCAATAGTCACTGTTATGGTGAAAGAACTATAGAGATTTATTTGTTGTTTGGTAGTATAACGTTATGTCGTTATTTGTGATAGGTCTTTGTTGATTTCCATATACCCCATCTCTTTCATAAAGGGGTTTTTACTTTATTCGTATAACTTTATCCTTTTGTTGGAGTTTTTGTTTTTGGCAAAGGAGAAGAAGGAAAAGAGCTCTCTCTCTCTCTCTCTCTCTCTCTCTCTCTCTCTCTCTCTCTCTCTCTCTCTCTCTCTCTCTCTCTCTCTCTCTCTCTCTCTCTCTCTCTCTCTCTCTCTCTACTACTACTACTACTACTACTACGTCTACTACTACTACGTACTACGTAC